AACATTTTCTGCTGCAAAACTTAGATTTCTCATTAACTCTTATGTCCATCAAAATATGAGTACACAGGAAACCTCTGCTCAGTTCTCTGTGCTCTGTCCCTCAGTTTATTTATTTCAATTCCTTAAATATTCTTCCACTACACATCTGCTGCTCCCTCAAACTAAAGTATTTGTTATAAGAATAAAGACTTTTTAACTGTGCTAAGCTGCCATATGCTTTCAGTTTAGTTTCAGCTGCACTTGGCATTACGGTATGATGTATCTGTCCTAATTCTATTGTTTAAAATTTCCTGTGTAAAAGAGAACTTGCATATGTAAAAGAAGTAGCTGATTTGCAATGGAGCACCAAATTAGGGCAAAATCGCAAAGCTATAAAGTGAAAATTGTGAAAACGTCTTGTCAGGAAAAATAATTGAAGCACATAGATAAGTAATTCAATGAACAGATATGAATGTTTACAAAAAACCACAGGCTATGACTGGACATTAATTACTTCAAAACTACCATTTGCAGCTTTTCAGAGAGTAAAACAAAGGTCTTTTCAGTCTTTGTGACTCCAAAAGACTGGAAAGTAAAATGAATGAGCTGTTTTAAAAGTCATATCCATAAACCTGTTTCATTTCTATCTATGAAATGAAAGAAAAAAGAATATCTATTTAGACATGTACATAGGCTTGTCATCAAAATTATGCCCATATAAAGCAAAATCTCTCTTTTGAAATGATACTTGCAGCTCTATGAAATTATATATTGTTTAATGTAAAACAAGAAATCTATGCAGTCAGAATTAAATATGTACCACTGACCTTTTCCAAAGTCTCAACCAGCATTCCCTCTCTCTCAAGCAGCAAGAATAAAATTCATTAACATTTTGATGATGCTCAAACACAGTCTAGAATTACTGAAATACTTAGGAAGGCACTAACTTATCAGTCCCTTTACATACTACTGAGGACTTTTCACTACAAAACATTGTATGCATAAGTAATGACAGAAAGTAAGTACAGACTGTTAAACAAGTGAAAACCATAATTTCAAATGGCATCAAATGAAGGACCAGAATTAATCTGCTTAGAAGGGAAAAGCAGCCAAAATAATATTTCTCCTAGCACACTTTTCATTATTAGTATTTTTCAGTCAGTGTTTGGTAAGGCAAGTTGCTTTACAGCAGCTCATTCCAAACTTTTCTCATAAACTTTTCTTTATTCTTTACAGTACAGCACTTCATTTTTCAGTTTACTGTCTACCACTTAGCACAGCAACCTGCTGTATGCATTTCTCTCTTACTGCTAAGGTTTGAAAAAGAACATTTAACCACTTTGTAAATTCTGCTAGCTTCTGTCAGACTTTCAAACTGGCCAAGGGACCTTGTGTGGCAGCACCTTCCATGACACATCTCTTGTCCTACAGCTCTGGGCTTGGGGGTGACGTGACTGGATTACCCCATCCCTTGTTGTCCCCAGGGACCTCTCTTCAAAGAGCTGCAGAGACTTACATTTTCTGCATTCATGGGGTACTGGGCATCCACAATAAAGCCCATTTCTGCAGTCACTGCTTTTCAGCAACAGATGTATCCTTAGGCACAGCACTGCTTAGTAGAGCAATGGAGGCTGTGAGCCAGCACTAGCTCATTGTGAACCAGCGGGTGTGGTCTGGCTGCTTCCATCTCTGGCACGCACAAACACCTCCTGGTGCTGGAGAAGGTAACACTAGGATTAGATCTAAAACCAAAAGCTGTATATTTTTTGCATGTTATTTGAATGATGTCAAGGTTCTACGAGGAGGAATTGAAGTAAAAATTTGACTTTGTAGGATTATAGAGCAAAATTATCACCCTTATCCCAAAAGTATCTACTTAGTTATACTCAGACGCAAATTCTGAATCCAGTCTTGGACATTACTTCTTCAGCTGAGCTTTGTTCTTAATACCATTGCTCAATTGGTTTCCATTTTCTCACCCCAGTTTGCCAGTGAGAGCCTACTTTATATGGCCTATTTTATCTTTTCTTTATTCAGTCCCCAACTGTAACCATGCCAAATCACAGGACCAACATGAGAAGTCAGTCGGCACCATGAGAACTCAGTGTAGAAGGGCTCACTTTGGTTCATCATCAAAGCTTGTTGGCCCTTCTCCAGTCCAGTATAAGGCAGCAATAAATCCCAGGCTTTGCAGTCTGAACCAGTGGTTGAAGTTTTAAGCCCTCAGTCATTGCCTTGGGTGCACCTTTCCTCCACCTTTATTTCTTAATATGGGAAGGTGGCTTTGTAGTCCTCATTTTACTTTTTTTTTTTTTTGTTTGCTTTATATCTTTCCATTTCCTCAGGGAACACCCACAGCCTGACCTTACAGACTTTTCCTGTGTTTTGCAAAAGACTGCTGGATAACAACTATGTTTACAGGACGTTTGGCTCTAAGTACTTGAGTACTTAACTGTCTTTATTTACTTTAACTTTGAACTGGTTCTAGTCATCCTCAAACAGATTTATACCTCAGAGGACTTAGTACAGCTGAGTATTTATGCACTTTCTCCTGGTTGAGAACTCACTGCTGAGAAGTGAAAGGCATTATGTAAACAGCTGAGTGATTCTGAACAAAAAAATTTAAGAGTGTATTTGCAGTTACTTGCTGGATCACTTTACATATGTTTTGTTGGTATGTGCCTCAGACAGATGTGCTTGAAGAGCATTTAAAAATGTTTTGCCAAAGAAATGTGAAAATGCTTTCCATATCACATTTTGCCTCAGAAATGCTATACTCCTACTACAAAACTCCTCTTTTAGTTTGCTAAAAACAGTCTTTTCAAGAGACTGTGTGTGCTTTAAAGTTAGTTCCAATCATTCCAAGTAATCTTTTATTTCTCTTAGTAAGTCTCTTTTGAAGTACAACCCGCAGAGAAATAGTGGTTTTTTCCTTACTTCGATCATTAATTTCGCACTGTATTGTGCTATTGAATCCCCTGTACTTAAGAATGGTGGTTCAACTGTAATAAGGCATTTGTAAACAGAAACATGAAGAATAAGACCCAGAAAACCAGATATCTGGCATATACATGAAAATAAAGTACCAATACCACCTAAAGTAGAATGTAAAAGTGAACAAAAATGTGATTTTGCAGCCTGGTATCATTCTTTTAACAAGACAGTGTATTTTAAAACAGTGATTGAAATGCTGCTTGTGTCATGGGTTTCATTCAGCTGCCCTTATTATCTCCAATGGATCCTCTACCCCAGCTCAGCTGATCCACAGGACAAGCTTTGTTATATATCATCCTGATTTGAGACTCCAAAATAGACTTTACTAAAGTAAGAAATTTAGTTTTGACTCTTTTATGAGCTAATGGGCTCTGGCTGGCTTTTAGCACTGTCACCTGCTTCTCCTTTAAACTTTGGCAGATCATGGTGTACATGTGTGTTTTGCACATGTGCACCTTATAGCCGTACCAGCAACAGGAAAAAGAGTTTCTTTCTCCATTTCTGTCACAGCCATCAGCTTCTCTATGATAAGCATCTTGGAATAATAATGTAACTTCTGTCCCTCCATTTGAGTCCAATCCAAAGTAGGTATTTCTGACAGAGTTAACGTGAGCAGGACCACACACTGTCTGGTAATATCCACGTACACTTTGAACTAAGATACTCCTGTAAAACTAGCACATCCTGGTGTCTTAGTTCACTACATAGAAATCTGCTGCTTCCCAGTTCTGTGGGTTAAACATAATGATCACATAATGAGAATTACCACACGTTGCTGGTAATTCTCAAGTAATCAAAAAGTATGCCAGGCATACTTTTGTCTCCTAAAATGAGCCAATGGAAATAAATCTCCGTTCAATTAACTGGTGCCCTGATCTCTCCTCTTAGAATAAATGACCACGTTGTAAATTTCTTTGGCATAAAGTGTGGTTAATTTTTGCCATTGGGAAAGGCCAGGCATATCTTCACTGGCAACACTTCATAGGTGGGAACCATAGAGGATAGAAGGGATCATTCCTAATGACCTGAGCAGGTGTTAGTCTGAGCTTACTCAGTATCTATGAATTACCACCTCCTTTACAGTGACTCAGCAGTCTAATGAGGCTAGATGTCTTACGAATTTCTCTTTGAGCTTCCCCAGGAATTCTGACTTGCCCGTGGGGGCAAAAGTAGATCTTTAGAAACCCATGTATTGCCACTAAATTTCCTCCTAGATCTTTCTTCTCTGACGGAAGTGTGAACAACTACTCAATAAAAGGGAAATTTCCATCAAAGAAGGTGAAAATACACACTGATTTTATGTTTTTAATTTTATTATTAGATTTGTGGGTAGTCAGGAAAATGTTCCTCTCATTTTCCTTTCTTACAGTTCTTCTTTCCTACCATTGAGATTTTCTTTTTGCAGAAAAGCCTGAGGCTTATTCTTAATATTAATTACCATTTTAAAGTTAAAAAACATCTAAGATAATTATGGAGATGATGAGGAGAGTCAAATGGCAGAACTAAGAATATTCAAGTTTAAGATCTGTATGAGATGGTTAAGGCTTATGCTCCTAGGAAGAGAAAACAGTGAGGGAATATATGATTGGAAGTTTGTTAAAACTGGATCATTTTTTTTGTTTATTGCATTCTCTAACAAGTGTAGAAGAAATTGGCTTAAGCTGTGACAAACAAAACAAAACCCCACCTCTTTATTTATTCTATTGGCAAAATGCCCCATTGGCTGCTAGAAATAGAAGAACCTTAATTTCAGCTTAGTAACTGACTTTAAGGTCAGTTTATGTCAGGGGCTGGCAGCCTCTTACAGCTGGTATCCCGTTTTGAGTTATGTGTTATGGAGTTGTAGATAAGGAAAAGACTGTATTTCATCCAGTGGAAGCATGGATGTGATTGTGGAGTGTTTTTTGTTATGACAATCACGATACAGCAGAAAATGTAGGTAACTGTTCTGGAGTAAACTGATAGAGGAGGATAAAACTAAGACCACTGAATCTGATGAAGCTTTAGAAAATGTAAATCTTATTTACCTGTGCAATCATGTCTGCAGTTTTAGAATAACTGCGGCATTTTTTAACAGCTGAACGAGCTAAAAAGTCATCAATCAGCCTTACACCAATGCCGTATCCCCTAGAGAGGAAACAAAGAAAGTTAACATTCAAAATTGGGAGCTTCTTACCACCTCCCTAATGTGTCTCTTGTGCTTTCTCGAAAAAACAGATGCATGTTCCTTATTGGGTGGCTTTGATGATGACACATTTTGCTGGTCTACATTCTTTTAGTTCTTTAAACATGGTACTCCTGGCAAGGATGATATGAATTGTCTATCAATTTGTTTATACATTGTCTATATATATATAATATATATATACTTATGTTTATATGTATGAATAAATATTAGATAGTAGATATACAAGTTTAATATATAACTAACATCCACAATATACCTGATTAATACTGCTTTGTCACTAAAAATAGGATAGGATAAAATAGCACAGAGTTTCCACTATTCTTCTGGGATCCCCGGTGTTCTTCTCACACTGTCTCTGTAAGGAGAACAAAGCAACTGTCCCTTTGGGTCACAGCCTTCACCTCTAGGCTGGTATGGAGTTTAGCAAATCCTGGGCACACTCATTGCAGCATTCAGGTGCCAGGAAAACCCATAGGAAATGGACTCACACCTGATCTCTTTCACTTTCTCCTCTTATCTCTTCACCTCATTTTTCTCTCTTCCTCCACAATTCCCTCTTTATCTGTTTTTCTAACATGTTCTCTCCCTTCATCTAACTAGGAAAAAATCAGGAAAAAAATCCAAAAGTTGCTAGTTAACATGGAGTTTCAGTACACCACCAGCTTCATTTTGTATTTAAAATACTAAAATTTAAAAAAAAAACCCAACGAAATAAAAAAGGATGGAAGATAATGGATTTTGTTAATAAAACAAATACTCATTCCTAGCTCTCACACATTAACAAAGGTCAGTAACTTCATAACGTGCAAAACAGCTGTGCTCCCAAGCATTTCCAATAAAAGGAAAGAGATTGACACATATGTTATGAAAGAATGCACACTCACTCAGAAGTGCTTTTAGGGAACTTTTCATTTCCATTTTTTGTGGATGTTGGCAGTCTCTGCCTGTTTGTCAGAGGCCCTACATCCTCAGTGAAGCAGTCTGAACTCAATGGAGTCTCTTACCAGTTTCTGTACCACATCTTTGTCAAGAAGCCAAAAAGTAATCTGATGTCTAACGTGATGACCACAAAGTGGTTTTGGCAGCGTGAAGATTAAAATTGCAGTAGATCATGCATCTAGAAACAATGAAATATTTATCTATTGCCTAAGTATCAATAACATTGGCAAGTATGTCATGAGCAATTAGCAAGGTATGTATTGGTGATGTACAAGACTTCTTAGATACTTTTCAACTGTTATGCCTCGGATTTGCAAAGTCAAATTAATAATAAATTGACAAGCAGCTCTTTGGCAACTGCACAGTGAAAAACATCCTTCTCACTAGGGACTATATATGTACAGAGAGAGATAAGAATACCATCCCCACCTGTCACAGGTCTGCTAATCTACAAGGTTTCTTCCTGAAACTGGGCTGTTTTCATAATCACAGTAGTAAAGAACAGACGTATTGTTTTAATGAAACCTGTAATTATATTATCAAGTCCTTGTCAAAACAAAAAGATTTTATAGAGACAGCTATAATAATGAAAACCTAGGCAGCAAAATCTGTCACCACAGATTCTTCCAGAAGTCTGTGCACTCTTTAAATGTATGATTTTCATCACAGCTGAATGAGAGGTGACTATAAAATAAATATCTGAGGGATGTTGTCCCTCCTAAGTTTGTGAATAAATTACTTTTGTTTTTTCCAAACAATGATTTTTTAACTCACTCTCGTGGATAGTTATCAGACTATAGCTCATTTGCAAACTTTCAGGTTAATAGTAAAGTGGTCAGTTATTCTGTCCACTGTGATTGCTGTAAATCCATTTTGCATGTCCATTTTGGCTGAAAACATAAGCCTTACTGTTCTGCCAAAGATCTTAGTACATCTTGTATAGCTTAGTATATCTTAGTATATCTTGTTATAGCTTTATATAATATTGTTTCTTGCTGATTTTCCACGATATCATTATTTTTATGGCAGTAATGCCTAGGAATCTCAGTCAGGATGATCTTGTAATCACAAGATCTTCATTTTCCAAAGAGATTATCCACTTAAAAATCCATTCTCATTGACTTTTTGTGCTATCTCACTCATTGGTACATGGTCTTTTAAAGGTGAGAGGCCCATCTGCCCCTAACCCAGTGAGGGGGGAAGTTGAAATGAAATACATGGATATAGGAGATGAAATTTAGAAGTTTATATTGTTAATTAGCATAACAACAAGGAACAAGTGTAAGCTATGAAACAATCCTGACACCATTCTTCAGAGAATTCAAAAGCTAATTGTTGATCAGACTGCATGCCTGTCATCTCTGTAATCCTAGACAGAATGCTGGAACTCGTAAGATAACAAACAGAAAGCTGAGAGGTAACATATAGCTGGACAAACAGCATTATGGATAAAGCTGAACATTTCAAGCAGTACTTACATTCTATCTAAACAGGTGTTGACATCTTCATCTTTTTCATAGTCCTTGCACAGCTGGGCTACCAAAGCCCCATATGTGAGTACAAAAAGTTCTCTGCTCTGCCAGGAAATCAAAAGTGAAGCAAACTGGAATTAAACTTTTCCAAGTTTTTTAACTGCTACTGGATTAACAGCAAGGAAGAATAACATTTGCATTAATAAAGAAACTATTGTCTATGGATGCATAATCCCTGAAATCCACAATTCACATGTGACAGAACCTGAATTGATTGTCACTTGAGCCTGTACAAGGATTTTGCTTGTCAGGAATACCATTTCTTGAGATACTTGTAGTTACTTTCATCAGATGCATTCTTGCATCCTATAACTTCATGTATGTATGCTGGATTGATAAATGCTGTCAAATGCCATCAAAGAATAATGACAAACATTTAGTTGCAGGAAGAATAACAGAGGCAATGAGCTATTAATTCTTTTGCAATAGGTACAAGAGTTTACAAAGGTAGGGTTGATCTAATTCAATTCATCAGCTGATGTCTCAAAAAAAACTAAAAAGCAGATAAAAAATTTAACTCAGAATAGTGGAAAAATACTATAATTCAACACAAGTGTAAAGAATAATGACAAGATGAAGGGGACAGGTGACGATTACAGCTGCTTGCCCAAGGAGCATGGAGAGCAACTGAACATGTCAAAGGCCTAACTTTGCAGAGATTCTGTCACAAGTGCTAAACTGGGATCTTCAGCTGTGGAGGAATTAATTAAAGGAAGTACTCTAGCCCTGTGGCATACGATTAAACTAGAGGGGCTCTTTGTTTGTAGCCTGTGGAAAAAATAGTGAATAACAATGAAAACAATAGAACAAATCACATGAGGAAAGGAAGAACAGCTTGGTGAAAAGACCTATTCCTGCTCTCCTTGCATCAAAAGCTTGGAGTTTAATATGTAGCCATTTCCTAAATTCACCTTGGTGATAACTTCTGTTTACAATAACATTGCACACTTGGCCAAATTCTCATTAACGAGTTTTTAATGGAGTAAATGGATGTCATACAAGTTCTGTATTGTTGTATTATTATTGTTCAGCAAAAAGTCTGTGTTGTAATAAGAACAATACCTTAGAGAAACCCAAGCATATTATATCAACATAATTGTATTTATCATCCACTCTTGCAATCCATTGGAATACTTTTTGCCCATAAACTTATGTATATGAACCTAAATTATCTTATATTCTTCTGTTTCTTTATCAGTGGAGACCTCTGTTCCCTTTTCAGAAATTACCACAACATTGCTGTAAGGCTTTCTGAACCTTCTTCACTGCCTGAACTCCTGTCAGAAATTGCCATTCACCATACAGAGAGCCCTAAGGTGCTAAATTCCTGAAGAAAGATTTGTGTGGAATTGAACCACTCAAGCACTAACAGAGATCTTCTCTCTGTGTTTCATTTAGAACCATCTAACCAAGGAGGCAAATAAACTTACCTGGCATTCCTGTCTTTGACCATAAACCACCCAAAGCACTTAAACCTATGTTTCTGAACAGATTGCAATCTCAGAAAATTTGTGCCCCTCTTTCCTAAGCCTGTTCAGAATCTCAGCAGTAGGGATAGTAGCCACGAATGCTGCCAGCACTTCTGCTCTTGTTCTGGCAGACTCATCCCCATCCTTTCACTACTTTCAGGCTGTTCAGAAATATGACTGCATAATATACATCAATACAGTAATAGCTTATTCTTACTCCATGCACAATTTTAAGCACACATTACAAAAATGTCTTACTATTTTGTGGTTCTCCGGCTTTCTTCCTGGTGACCGAGACATGTTGCTTATGTAATTCCTGATGTACTTGATTGTCAATTTATATCTGTTCTTCCTCAAGCAGCATAGTTTTCTCTCAATCACTGTATTTCCTCTTTCTCTTCTATTAAGTTTTCTCCCCTCTGCTCTTCTGCCTTTTGCATGAGATGTGTTTGCTGCAGTCTGTAATGCTATTGATGCTCCTCCTATCCTCTATGTGTACTGAGCCCTTTGGGAGGAATTTGACCAGCAACAGATCTGCCCCTGTCCACAATATAAATAACCACTTCATCCATGAGAATGATACACAGTAAACATCCATGAGAAGTCAAATCAGGCAGCCCCAAGACATTCACAGGTTTTTGGAGACAACAAATTAATTCTGTTGTTTCTATCAGACTTTGGTGTTTGAAGAGCTAACAAAAGCTTCCTTTCTGAAGAATAAAAACACAATTGCAAGACACTGCTGCAGAGGGTAATTAAAAATTTATAATTTTCAACTTAAAGGAGCTATAGTCTCATGTCAGCTCTGACTGCTTTAGTCTGGTGAGTTGATGTCTGCCTAAGCAGGGGCAGTGTGTGTTATAAGGCACTGCTACCACCATGATTCTGCAAAGCTGGCAGGACAGATATAGAGAACTTCCAGCTTCCCAGAGGAATAAACTGTGTACCTGCTACAGCTACCAGCTTGTGCAAATGGCACTTTCATTAACAATGTGCCTTGGGGGTGTTCTATCATTCTTAGCCTGTTATAGCCCCTATTTGTAAATATCCTTACTATGAACATCCAGGCTTATTTTGCCTGTTTTCCTCTGTAGTAAATTTGGCCTATATGGTTAGCTTAGATTTGAAATAAATTTCAACTATTGTCACAGGTGAATTTAGAAATTAATCAGATAGCTGTCATTCCTTATAGGACTTACTTGCACATGTAGTCCCACTGAGCCCTCTCAGGAAAGGAAGGAATAATATATGGCCTTGTCTGAATGTCATGCTGTTACTAAATCTATATTAATTAATAGATTCAGTGTTAGAGTAAAAATACATACATTTACTACTCCAGATACACGGAAAGCATTCAGATGTGATTTTTTTTTTTACAGGTGCTTTTCTGACCCTGTAAAATCCTACTCTGTTTTATAGGTGAAACTATTGTAGGTACTTCCTACATCTAAATTTAAATAAATTTTAAAAGCCAGACATTGCAATTATCTAGATAGTTACTTGCATTTCTAAATTAAGTCTGAGATGAGTTGGTTTCTCTGATTGTCCCCAGCTGGCAAAAAGCATCAAATATGTCTCACATTGCAAGTCATCCCATATTCCACAAGAAAGCGTACTGCACTGCGCTTTAAAAAAACAAGTGTAAAAGATTATCATTGCTATCATTTAACTTCAGTGAGGCCATTGAAAAGCACTTAAGGCTACCCATAAATGACCACCATTTTATTTATATGGCTCTGAATACGTGGATGAATTACTTCAGCCTGCATTATTAATACTATAATAACGAAGGAACACTGTGGACCAGACAGTGCAATGTATCATAAGGACATGCCATTATTCTTTGAAAATACATACGTGCACACATGTAAATTCCCACACGAGTTCTTATACTCAAATCCCAGTTTGGCTGCTGCTTTGTCAATAAAGCAATGCTGTTGCTGCCTCCTTGTCTGCAGAAGCATTTTCAGTGTGACCTGCTGAAACTTCTTTGGTTAGGTTACGCCTCTCAGGAACTGTTTTCAAGAGGGTGTTTTGGGATTTTAGTTCCTACTTTCTGCTGAAGCTCTCTGCAGGCACCAGAAACCTCATATAAATTTGCCTATAAAGCACAGGTAAATTCTGAAGCAAAATATGGAAGCTAAACAAAAAAATCATTAACTGGTTTCTATTCTTCCCTTAACTTAAAGCTTATTATTTTTCTCATCAGTGCTTGTCCTAATTAAAGGGAGAGGACCTTCTTCCTTACCCAAGCCAAAGAGACCATGAAAATGACTTGGCAGCCTGAATCTCACCTGTGACTTGACAGAACATAGGACATGGACAGTGCTCCCCTCAGCTCCCACAGGAAGTCTGTCAGGCAGGCACTTTCTTAGCATGCTTTCTAACATGCACAGGCAGGCTTGGCATCCATGCAAAAGAGAACTCAAAATGCACCTAGAGGGGCCAAAGAACATCAGCCTTTAGGCTGCTAATTTAGTGATGAAAACACATGAACAGGACCAGAGAGACCAGGGTTCAGTCTCCTCCTCCTCCAAACCTCACAGGAAGCAACCTTCAGACAGAAAATAGAAGAACACTTCACTTTCTCCCTACGTTTTCCTGGCCAGTAGGTAACAAAATCCTAATCTTCTTCTGATCCAATAAGTATCAAAATCCTCTCTGTAGGGAAACTAAGTGCAACTGGTAGAACGGCAAAGCTGGAAAACACAGCTTCTTTGCACCACAGTCACATCACATTACTAATAATAACTGAGATTTTGGAAGAAAGAGATGAGTGATTTTTTAGTTGATCAGGTGGATAAGGGGGCTGAAATCAATCTCTACCTTCTGCCATGGTTGCTTTATTTAAATAATAAGAAAACAAGAGAATAAAACTTGTTTGCTGTGTATGGGAGGATAGGAAGGTGTAATATGTCTTCTGATAACCATGTTTAAAACAAAAAAGACAAACCATTCTCAGTTCTTAAAAAAAAATCAATTTTTCTCATAAGTGAGGTTACTGATAGTGAGTTCAAGCTGACAGAGCCCTGCAATATGACAAGCAAAACCATGGCTAAGGTTTACTCATGCATCCTATTTGCCTCAGATGTCAGATATAAGCATCTCTTTGCCTCGGAGGCCAGCTGGCTGGCACCTCAGGTAGTGCTGTTTCAGATTGCATTTAGTCCTAACTCTTCCTGGGAATCAAATAAAGAGCCTAAAGGTCTACCCCAGGACTCTGGGTTCCTCTGCAAAGGCAAGTACTTAAAAGTTTGATGTGCCGCCCAAGCTCTTAATCGGATCCAACCCTATAATTTCTTCCATAATAGGATGACCCAGCAGGATCACTTACAGCAGAGCATGAAAGCAAGTGCCAAAGAATTGAAAATGCAGAAGCGCAAAGTTGTAGTATTGATTGTTTAAATTACCTCATTCAACAGCCTTAGGCTGACTATGAATATTTCAGTATTGTATACTACTTCAGTTTCACATCTAATGTGTTTCTGGAGTAAACAAGTGATGCTTGGGAAAGCCTTCCTTGCTTATAAACGAAATAAGACAAGGGTTCCCAAAGAAAACTCAGAAGCAGTCAATCAGAGATTTTAAAACAAACTGAGGCATAATGGAAGACTCATAAAACATATCTTCAAAATAATTCTATAATAGCCTAATGGGTTTATTTCACTGATTTTTTTTTCAAAATACAATGCCGCTAGTACAAAAAAAATAGTTGAAAATCCTGTCACACTGAAAGAAAATTAAGGTTCAAAATGGCAATGTTTACACAGCACTGGGATTTTGTTATGCTACTGCGCTGTCCAAACACCTAAGAACTTAACAACAAGCTCCAGAAAAGCTGTGGCAAAGTGCTGCTGGATGTTTCAGCATGTTTCTCTACTGCTTTTAATTTTGTGCAATGGTGTCACATTGTTTGAGAACCAGTTATTGGCAAAGACCTCTTTCACAGATGGTGAGTGGGGATGACACAAGCAGGTGTCTGCCCTAGCAGAGCACTGGAGGAACAAGATCTTGCCTAGAGAACCAGCAAGGCACGTATAACATGACATCCATGTGTATAACAGCTGAGAGTGTCTCTGCCATCCAAGTGGATACCATGGGTGCTAAAACTACTGTTTGAGATAAAACTTATTATTAGCAACCCTCCCTGTAAGGGGAGGGAAGAGGCTGTGCAGACAGACAATATTATATTATGTGACCAAGTCCACACATGCTGGAGATAGAGATCTGTAATGGGAAGACAATTTTCCCCATAGACTTTCTGGCTGAATTCCATTTTCTGTTCTTGGTAAAAATGTTTATATTACAGACAGTTGACTTCTCAGTACTTAAACAGAAGTATTTGCATAGTCAGATCAGCCTAGGTTATGCCATGTATAGAACTACTGGATAGCATGACCATAGAAAAAGTGCAATCCAGAGGAAGTCATACGAAGTAAAACGTTCTAAACTTTTCAGGCCTCTACTTAAGGCTTGATTTGTGACCAATGCCCAGAGCCCAGACTATATATGGGAATATCCAGAAACCAGCTCTGGAAATGCTTAATTGAAAAATTTCTATCTATCTCCTCCCACAGAATGGGACTGATCATACTTACAAAAAATCTTAAAACTTGTAATCACAAGTATACTATATAAATGCCAGCTGGCTTGACACTGTGTGAAGTGAATAGCAGATTATACATTACCAAAAAAAACCCAAAAACCAAAAAACCCACCTTTCCAAAGGAAACTTTTCCACTGTCCGGAAAAGTCACATGCCAGCTTCTTGCCACCCACAGGTGAAACACTAAAATCCTCGTAGTTGAGCAGATAACTACATCTCAAACTCCAGTTTGGAGAGCAAATTGCTCCAGAACCGACATTAAATACAAACAGTACAGGGATTCCAAATGTTGTGCCACTTATGGAATATTTTATGTGTTTATTTTAAAGTGGAAGCATTTTAAATACTTCATTTTTTTTATAATCAGTCCAGTTGCCAAGTCTTTCTTTCTTTGTTCTTTTAGAGAGAACAGCTGAAAGATCTCCTCTTTCCTTTTTTCTTTTGTGTCCTAGTCTCATGCCATGTTCCTGCTAATTACTGTTGATTAGCAAACAGCTTGGCAATTAATCCTGGCAAGTTAGTCATCAGTTTGATAGCACTGCATGTCATCCAAAAGGTAGGGGGAATTTATTGTTAGTTTCAGACAATTAGCAAGGGGCTGGCAGAGCTCACAACTGCCTAAAAGCTCAGTGTTCCAGAACTGCTGAGATAAATTACCAAATCAATTAAATCACATCAGTGGATGTCTGCAAGCATATTTAAAGCTAGCAAACAAGCTACTGAGAATTAGTGGGAGGAGAAAGACTAGCAGGAGGTTTTTTTGCTGTTGTGTTTGGTGGTGTTTTTCTTAAGCTGTTGGAGTTTGTTCTGTTCTGCCATTAACATTAGTTAAATATAGCTAAAAGTTGGCGTTGACTTAAAGCAAAATAATCTGGTAAAGAGTAAGAACTAAAATGACTTTCCTTCCAAAGTGGTTAACTTTTCTGAAAGGCAAAGAAGTTGTTATTGCTAATGCTATAATTGCAATACTGACAATTGGTGGGCAGCAGCTTTTCTCTTTTTTCACGTTCAGCTGTCCCTGTCATGTTGGACAGAACCTTATTTATGGGCTGGCTTTCCTAGGAGTTCCTGCACTGATCCTTCTGATTGTTGGCTATGCCCTGAATAACCAGACTTGGAGGCTGGTTACAGGCAAAAGATCTCATTTTGACAAGGTGACTACATCAAACCAGTTACTGAAATGCAAACTGATCTGCTTTGTCCTGTGTAGCATCACTGGGAGAGCACTGGTTGCTCCAGTAACATGGCTAGCAGTCACCCTGATAAATGGCTCATATTATGTCTGTGCTGTGAGTGAGTATGTCCCCACGTATTATTACGGAGCTAATCCTAATGTTACTGCTAGCGAACACAGAAGGATATTGGCTACATTTCCATGCAGTCAGTTAGTTCCACCAGAGATGACCCGGGCAAGAGATGAAGTGATTCTCCTACTCCGATACCAGTCACAAGTGAGTAACTCATGTTTCTGTTGCTCTGAACCTAATGATGAGAGGTAGAGTCAATTCAGCAGGCAAAGTATTAGGATAGAACAAGATCAGTGCCTTGTGTCCCGAGTGCAAAATCTGTGTGTTTTGAAGCCCGCTTTTTTTCTTCTAAGTGGAACTGAATTTTAGGTATATAAATTACTATGGTATATAAATTACTCATTGTCCCACTTGTTACCTGCTATGAGAGGATATATTCTTCCTTGTGTAGTATCCTGAAAAGTACTATCAAGTAAAACAAATGAAAGTCAAAGAGCCAGGGAGGGTATGAAGTTTCTTCATTAAAGCATAAGAAATGTGTGGCTAAGGGGCCCAGGCTGTGAGAGTTCCATTAAAACCAAGATCAGACTCAATTCTAAAAGTTTACATACTGGGTAAATGATGGGGTGAACATAAAGTTGACACTTCAGAGAAAACTGGTTTTAAACAGGCCATAAACAGTCTAGAAGTTATGTGGCTTCTCTTCTAACAACAACAGCTGTTAGAGCAATATACTTAAAATTATATAACAGAACTTTCTTAAACTTGACAAGAACAAGTGACTTTACTACACAGCTGCCTCCAGTAGGCATAGACTGTGTTTGGTGGCAACAGACTTTTTCCAGGCTTATACCTTGTTAACATTATAAGCAAGTAAAGATGACATGGATTTTCTGGTGCTCAGAAGTTACCATTGTATTTTCAGCTGTAACAGTTCTTTTCTTTTTCTTTGTAAGGTGGCTGGCTGGCTTCTGATTGCTGTGGTAGTCATCACTGTCTTTCTGTCTTACTGCCTGGCAAGCTGTTTCTCCCCGCTCAGCTTTCTACATTTCAGATACTGGAGCAGCTATGTCCACAATGAGCAGGAGCTCTTTGATGAGGCGACGGAGCAGCACTCCAGGCTCTACGCCATGCAGCATGTAAGGAAGTTTTTTGGCTTTGTCCCAGGAAGTGAAAATGTAAAGGAAATTCGCATCCCATCTCTCAGAGAGTGGCAAGCCATTTCTGGACTGGCCTTTCTAAAACAAGTGGATGAGGAGCACTATGATTATAGTCTCCTCCATGACTGGGCACTCAAGGAACGTGCAAATGGAAAATACTTGAAGACTGATGAAGACCCTTTAATAAAAACACAGCTCTGAGGATCCAAGCCACCACCACCTTGCAGAAATGCAGGACCCTGTCTAGCTCTGTATCAGACCTGAGCTGCTCTGGAACTTTCCAATGCATTATTACATTGATATATAAAGTATGTGAGCAAGTACATCTCGTTAATGTAGTCCTTTAGCACATGCTTACAGATGCCTTTACTGATGGCATCTGACTCCTGTGGGATGTGATCTATGTCTAGATTAGGTTGGGCTGTCTCAAGCTGCAGCTCTCTGCTTTCTAATAGTTATGCTAAAATGATAAATAAGTACTGGGAAAGTTATTTGCAGATGATTTTTAAAAAATTTTTTTCTTCCCATTAAAAAGATTTTTAATAGCTAGACTTTGACTGGATCCTCTGAGTTGGTGCATTCTGTATAGAGCAAAAGCAGTGATTCAGCTTTTTTCTTAGTGAGCCCTAGCAGAAATTACTTATGTCTCCTCTTCCACTTTTTTTTTTGTATTGTATGAATAAATTACACTCAGCCAACTAACTACAAGCTAAGTCTGTGGCTACAGTAGCACAGAAGAAACATAGAGGAAATCTTATTGTCAAAGGCTGAGTATAGATACAATGATGAGAGAACTTTCCCACTGAGGCAGAGGATGGAGGTGTCTAACATGGAGCAGCTGTATGAACAAACACTTGACGTTTGGTAAACTGAGTTGAAAGGTGTTCTGGCTGAAAGCAATAGCAAGATCAGTCTCATTTTTAGAAACACTTCAAAATCTCTCAGGTGTTTATGTGCTTGCCCACTGTACAAATAGCAAATCAGGACAGGAAAAAAATCTCCCTTTGTGCAGTAAGGTTTGCTTTGCCTGCAAAGATCTTGTAATTTAGACATGCTACTGGGCCCATGAATGTTATTGTGATTAAAAACTACTGAATTTAGTGAAAGAAGGCTTAATGATGTTTTTGTGTTAATTCAGTGTGGTATGATGTGATGTTACTCATCTCCTTTCTAACTCCTTGTGCAAATGTTTCTAACTCTAAAAGGCATTGGTGGGAAATGCATACCATATTTTTTCTTAATGCTTCCTGTATTGCCTTGTGATGTACATATACACATGTTGTATGCTCCAAAGCTATATGCTAAACTATGGGATGCTATCTGCTATTAATAAATGACCCCTGGTGGTTGAGGAGGAGAAATATAATTATTTCGTATGTTTTACTAGAAAATGTAAGGGCCAGAAGTAAGTTAAATTGCAGATCTTGGTAAATATGTATGGTCTTGGAGATTTAAACTTCTAAACAAAAGCAAGCATTTTATCAAAGCTCCTCTATCACTCCCCTCCTCAGCTGGATAGGGGAGAGAGAATATAAAGAAATTCTCATGGTTTGTGATAAGGACAGGGAGAGATCACTCACCATTTACTGTCACAGGCAAAATACATTCCACTTGGAGAAATTATTTTATTACCAATCAAATCAGAGTAAGACAATGAGAAATAAAACTGAATCTTATAGTACATTTACCCCCTGCCTTCCTTCTTCCTGGGCTCACCTTCACTCACAAATTTTCTACCTCCTCCTCCCACTAATACAGGGGGAGGGTGAAGGAGGGTTGCAGGCAGTTCATCCCACGTCTCTGCTGTTCCTTCCTCCTCAGGGGAGGGCTTCTCACATTCTTCCCCTGCTCCAGTGTGTGATACCTCCCACAGGAGAGAGTCCTCCACCACCACCTTCCAATTTCTGGCAGAAATGGCATTCAGCTGCCTTCACGGGACCCTTCTGTGACACCTAGAGCATCGGTTTTGAATCCTCTTCAGTTTGCCGATCCCTGTAAGTTTTCAATGGAAGAATGTCCAAGAGTGAATACCTGCCTAACAGCAATGTGCTCTTTATAGCGACCCTGAAGCCTGCCTCTTTAGGTGGGAGCCCACATACTGAAGTCTAAATAACACAGATTGCCGACCTCACCTCTGCCAACACCGCTGCTGCCGGGAGGGGCGGGGAAGCAGCGCAGGTGTGGAGCGGAGCATGGCGGAAGGATTCCTCCTGCACGTCAGGTACAGGCGTGCAAACACGCCCAGCCCGCTCAGCCCGGAGCTGAACGCCAAGCAGCAACTGCTGGAATTCGCTGAGCAGAGGGTACCGCACCTTATTCCTCCCCTGATGACGAAGAAGATCGAGGTTGGCTTCCTGTGCCTTCACCTCCGCCTTTCGCCCGGCCCAGCGATGGCAGTAGTACCCGCCGCTCCGCCTCTCTTCCTCCCTCCCCTGCAGCCCAAAGGCATCCAGCGCCGAGCGCGAGCGCTAGGCATGCTAGGAAGGGAAGGCAGCAGGCGGGGAGGACGCAGGCGCGGGCGGGCGGGGAGCGGCGGCGGTTCGGGGTCGCTGCGGGGCGAGCGGCCCATGGCCGTGGGCGGCAGCGGCGGCGGGCGACGATGACGGACTACAGCGAGGAGCAGCGCAACGAGCTGGAGGCTCTGGAGTCCATCTACCCGGACTCGTTCACGGGTGAGCCGCGGCGGGGCCGCGCCGTGCCGGCGGGACGGGCGGGAGGCCGCGCCGGGGCTGCCTCGGGGCTCCCGAGCCCCCCGGCCTGGGTGGCTTTTTCGGGCTTTTTGTTTGCTTTCCCTGGGGAGGAAAAGCAAAGCACTCGATGGCTCCCGTCACCAGGTAGGTGCCGGTGCGGTGCGCGGCGCAGCCTCTGCCGCGTTTGGCGCCGTGGCACAGCTGCCCAGCGTGGGTACCCGCTCCTCTATCCCAGCCCGGGCTGTGGCGGGTGGAAAAACCTTTGGAGAAACCTTTAAAAAATGCGGCAGTTGGGCACCTGGCTTGTGTGCCGACTGGTTTTCCTTTTCTGTAATAGCTTGTCACGACCGTGTAGCACGGGATGTTTTGGGGTACCTAAAGATGCTGTTTTCTCCGTAAATGTCCTCAGCCAGTACCTGCCTTATTCTGTTGCTGTCTTGTGGTGGAAAAAAGGAAAGCTTTAGTTCCTTGGTGGAGTATGTTGTATTACTGAAACTTTTGTAGGATGGATACGTCGGTTCATCAGTTTTCCAGGACTTCCAAGTTACCATCAAACAATTAAGAGTATCTACCATGTTAGCTATTCCAACATGGTTTATGTTGCTCAGTATCCGAAGAATTTTAACAGTGAAAAAACCAGGGCATTTTCAGTTCCCTTCCTGCACAGTATCTGCTCTGCCCACAGCGACTTCATCACACAGATGTTTGTCCATTGCTTCAATCTGAAAATCTTTTTGGTTCTTCAGTTTTATGTTAAAGATTATTTAAAGATATGTAAATTGATCTCTCGTAGCTGGGGATGCTGAATTACTGATACAGAACTAATATTCTTTCTTAAAGCCTCTGCTCTGATGCTTACTCCACAGTTATTGTTCATTCATGTAATGCTTTTATGCCCAAGAGAAGAAGAGGGAATAAAGATAGTAGTAGTACATTAGCAATTAGGCAAAATTCACATAGTACTTTGAGAGAATGTATACTAGTTTGGGCATAGGTTGTAACAGTGATACAGAGGAATCCTTATGTGAGGATATGATCTACAACCCACAATTGCGCAATGAGGTTTTCAGCCTGTGAAACACAGATCATAGCGCTTGCATTCTGTGCGTCTCCGTAGGAGCCGCTTTTTGTCTGTCTTCTAGCTGCCTAATTCACACATTCTAGTACATTACTGGGGTAGTAATGTACTAGAAAACCCTTCCTATTTTTGTTTTAAGAAGCGTTTCTTACATTAAGCTGTCCTAAATACAGGTGCAGACATACTGTAAAAATAGTCCAGGGTTAAGAGTACACTGGGTGCTCATCACATATATCTGGCGCAGTAAAGCAAATTAGCTTTGGGAGCTTTCTGAACACATTCCAGACACTAACGGAAGTAATTTGATGGTAGGTAGATTTGTACTTTCTAGAAAAGTGAAACTGCCAGAAGAGGAAGTTTTCCAAAAGAGAAATTTCTTGATATTGTTGGTGTTATATGCACTCATTCAAAGAGTATTCCAGGCATCACATCATATGGAAAGTAGCTGTTAATGGAAAAGTATTTATTAATAAGGTAAAAAGGCCCTTAACACTGTATCAAGAGCTTCCTTTCTTCATCAGTCCTTGACAAGTTTTAGTGATGTGAAGAAGTGGTTGTCTGATTTAAGGACTCTCTCACTGACTTTTTTTTCCTTTGAACAGTATTGTCAGAAAAGCCAACAACTTTCACGATCACTGTGACATCTGAAGCTGGAGAAAATGATGAAAGTAAGTTGGTTGTGTCTTAAACATATATAGGAGGAGTTTCTTTGTAGGCCTAATTCTATCACCAAAACTATGTGTACCTCCATTTAAGTCCTCTTAGGGGCCTGATACAGCAAACACTCCTCAGCAAATGAAGTTCAGGGATTTTGGTGATCCTTGCTTAGTTTACAGGAATGTGAATGCTAGAACTGCTTTCTGCTGAATCTCAAAGGCTTTGTAGCGTAGCTTCAAAAAGTATGGGTTATCATCATCCTTGTAGCAGCTTACAGCCCTGTGAGGGGATTTTTTTCCTAGCCACTCTGTGTATGCCAGCCACAAGGGAGAGTTGAGTTTGTGGGCTCTGAATGTGCAGCCCTTAAGGAACAGCTGCAGAGCAGAGGGCTGTGGGTCCCAAGTCGCTGTGTATTTGTTGGGTGTCCACAATTCCATGGGCATGATGTAAGCAAGCCTTGCTCCAAGCAGGTTTGGAAGCTGCTATTCTGGGTTACTGTAACAGAAGGAATAAACTGGTGCTGTCTTGTTAAGTTTTAAAGGAGCAAGTCCTGCTTGGAGCAGGTGTCTGTGTTGAAGAGACTGCTGGGCTGCCAAGAACTGTGAGTTTGGAACTGAAGGAAAGCTTCTCCTTGGTATTCTGGGAGGATGTGTAAAAGGACCTTGATTTTCTTCCACTTGTTTCCATGTTATCCTGGCTCTGGGCAGCTTCAGCTTGAATGTATTTTCCTTAGGTGGTTCTTTGCTTAATACCTCCTACTGGACATAGTGTTTTTGCCATAAGATTTATGGGGAACGGTGGAACCATGGAACCCGACACAGAGATTGATACTCCAGCCAGGCATGCAGAATTTAAAGTGCTAATATGCTGAGATTCTCTTTAGGTCTATTGTTAGGACTCTTCACCATTTTCCAGCTTTAAGTAGAATATGAGGGAGAAGAGATTACTGCTCTGGTATCTGCCATACCACAGAAGGTTTTCCAGTCTTCCTAAAGACCTTTCAGACATGAATAGGTTATAATAGTTTGTGCAAGTGTAAACTTCTTCATAATCTTAATTTCTCAGAACTCATGGTTTACGTTTAAATCTGTTCATATTATTTTAACATCTGTGTAAGAAGACTGTTTTTAAGGCAAGAATATTTTATATTTTATATTTTATAATCTTTAGACTGTCAATACAATAGAAAAATATACAATAAATTTATATAGAGTTACCACCATAAGAATGTGTGTTTTTTATCTTGTAGCTGTCCAAACAACCCTTAAATTTACCTATAGAGAAAAATACCCTGATGAAACTCCACTTTATGAAATTGTCTCACAGGAGAATCTTGACGATAATGATGTCACAGACATTATAAAACTG